AGCCAATAGCCCCTTCTTGATTCGGTTTTTCGTCGTTTCTTTCGAATCAGTGAGCAACAACTCAGAGGGTGTCTTGATTTGCTTCTGAACATAAATGTAGCTTCACTATTCGCAGTGTTTTGGAGCCCTCCTTTTACTAATTATGGTAGACGTTGAGTCAGGACTGTGAATTGTAATGTTGTTAATCCACACCTACTTTTAATGTTTAATATAATTTATTTAATATAACTTGCTTATCCATATCTACTATTATTATTTTCTGTTGTGTTTGCTGTATCTTTTGAACATGAACATTTGGGCAAGTGACTAACACAGCTTTTAGACGCGTGAATATATGGCAATTGCATTAGCTTCATAATTAAGAACAAATTTGGAAACAAGTAAAGGTCTGCAGCATTAAAAATGCTCTTAGTGATAGGTATTTATCCCAACTTTTTCAAATGACGGACCTACAAACCGTTTTTTTTTTTGGTCGAAAAATCGCCTTTTTTGCAGCAGCGACAGCATTAAGAATTCTTTATCTATTCCACGTAAATAGTATGCCGGAAAGTAAAAATTGGTAATCGTGAACTGGATCGACGAATACACAACGAATAATTCTGTTTTGAATTATCGATGTTTCTGAGAACGAGCAATGCCGCCCGAAGTGAGGTTACGGCCCCTCCAAGCGCATGCAGTGCAGTCATGTGATCATTAATGTTATCAGCGACAAGTTTCTCATTTAATTATAAATTCTACGTACAATAAAATAATTCAAAAAACATTCTATAAAAAAGTAGTAATAATGCATATACTCCAAGCATTATCGCTTCATTTTTCCTCTTCTCGAAAATATTTAATGAAAATCGTCCATCCAATGCCTCTTTATTTCTTAGTGCGTTCGCTGACAAAAGCGCCCCATCATTACAGATAAGCACAGCCATCCTTCATCTCGCCCTTCTCAGTGAAGATGTGTACCGGGTCGGAAACGCTAACAATAAATCATTGTTGTCACAAAATTAAGAAACGCTCGTTTTTCCCACCACTCCGAAATGCGTCAGATTGAAACGGGATCAGCCCGTCCTATTTAGTGGTCCGCTAAACCGTTCGCTAAACCCATCCAGCCATCCATCAATCATCGGCCAATCCGAGTCGGGTAATTAATCGACGAATCAATTAACGACGGGGACGCCCTCGCCGCAGTGGCGGGAGAGAGAGGTGAGCGTGCTGGGGCGGACGGAGCACTTGAAAGTACCTCCTATAGGGGAGGTTGTGGGTCCACCGACCGTACTCGAAACTTGACGTTACTTCGCCAACATACTTGTACTTAAACAGGTATCAATAATTTTGTTTCCCTGATTGTGCAGTAACAAACTTACACATGCAACGTTACTTTGGAACTTAACAGATAGTCGAAACAGATATTGTTCTATTACTATGCTTTTACTTTCGCGCATATGTAGTGTAGGGAAATCTTGATTTTGGGGGTTCCTGATACCGAAAAAATGTTTTTTCAGAGTCATCTGTCAATTTGGAAGAAAACAACAATAGCATCTAAACTGAACATATGATTTTTTATTAAACTGATATTAATTTAAGGGAAAATCCTGTGCGTAAATATGCAATCCCAGATCGATATGGTCGAACTCGAAGCTCTGCTGATTTTACACGAATCTTTTAATTTTGGGGGTACTTCATAGCTTGACGTACATATTTCACATTTGTTCAAAAATAATTTCAAATGTTTAGCTTAAATAGAGGAAGCGCGCTTATAATTATGATGTAAGTCAGATTTTCATTCAAGTTACTCAAATTTCCAAAATTGCAATATTTTTATCACAAAATTGCCTTGCTTTAGCTAAACAAGATTTTCTCAAAGCAGAGCCCAATGCACTGAATTCTATGGCACAAGAACAATTTTCATTGTAATTTATCAATTTTCAGAAATTGAAAATATACATTCTTTCTAATATTTTCGGTCACAAGTGGTAATATTACAGTATACGTCAAAAAAGTACCCTAACCCGGGTCCCCATTTTGTTTTCGACTTTTTTTTAATTCAATATTCTGCACAATGAAATCAAAATATTTGTAATGTGTACCTTACTTAGTTACACAAATTTTACATTTTACTTAAAATTATTGGACAACTACTTTAAGAAAAAAATTTCCTATATGTTGATTTCTAAAAAGCGTTTCCTAATGTGAGACCCCGCAAACGTAAAAAAATAATAATAAAAATAAAATCCAACTGTAAATAGATTGAACTCAAGTGTATATACAAAAAAACAACTTGTTTAACATCTTATACACAAGAAAGTGTCTTGTATGCCTTGCACATAGTCTATATATTCTAATGCGACAAATATAAAAGCATCTTTTTTTGCCACCGCACATTCTACAGGAGCCCAAAGCGAACACATTACCCACATAACTCATAGTTCTACTACAGCTCTCTGAAAATTGTACACTGGAAAATATGCAATCTGCATCTTCTTCACCTGGGAGGGAAGATATCCTAGTAGAACTTCCAATTCGGAAGAGCCAGAGGACATGCTCAATTCCCCGCCGGCCGCCGGAGGTGGAATCTTCCTCTCACTTTTTGTTTAACTTCAGAATTTTCTTACATCTCTCTTTCCGACTTCTCCTGGATTAAATTCTGATATTGTCTCTTGACCTCTGTCTTATTCCTGCCATCTCGAACTGATAGACTTCAGAGTAGGCTCTTACTTTTTCATTGGGCTCCTAAGGTGTAAGGTGTGCCCAATACCTTATTTTTATTTTGCACGAAACATTGGGAGCCCGCATTATGAATCTTTGGGGGGCTAGTGTTAGACACCAGCGTGTTCGTATTCCAAAAGCTTTACAAGGTAAGTAAAATAATTTACAGTGCCCTTTATCAATAGCTTGTAACGTCCCTTTCCAAATAATGTAATGGTTAGAAGACTTACCAATGAAGTAGCAAAATCAGGCAATTGAGATTAAGCACTTGAAAAAACTTTGCTTTTCACTGTTCGCACTAGTGGCCGACTGTTCCTACACGGCACCTGTTCGGCAACAAGTGAAGATAAAGACACTACTACTTGACTGGGCTCCAGTCGTACCAAGAACTACTATTTTAGTACTTTTCTAAGATGCAACAGAACTCTACAGAGCTGTACATCAAGTGGCTCGCATTAGTAACCGGGCTCGGTTTAGGGTACTTTCCTCTATGTGTTACAAATAAGAAAGATATGTGCTGTTTAAACAACTAGTTTTTCTATTTATTCGAACCCTGATCCGATAATGTTTCTTCGTAACTAATGAACCACGAAATATTGTGCACCATAAATACAAGTACAACGTACAATAACTCATGAAATATGCCACACGTATTTAACCTAGTTCGTGTTTAAACTAGCACTTGGTTAGAAGGCACAGGCGGCAAACAATGCCCAAGCAAAATGTCACTCAACAGAAACAACGTTCGTCAACCCGACAGCTCAATCTAAATGTGTCATAAATGGAAAATATATTTTGAAGTTATTTTGCGTCCCAAAACAAAAATCGTTTTTACATATCTCCCAAGTTATTTATAACGGAGTTTCGAAAAAAAAAATTTTTTTCGAAAGTAAAACATTTTTAAGCTAATAAACAAGCATGCAACTCAGTTATTATTTAAATTTCAACTAAGCATCCGTTGAGCAGTATAATCTCTTTATTCGAGGAAATGGTTAATGTCGTATCAGTTTAATGTCGTAGTTTCCTCCGAGTTTTTCTTTCTCCTAGTGACAGGTCTGAATCCCGGTTACTCCACGCGGTTTGTGGTGCACAATTCAATACATTTTCACGATTTACACGTTTCCCCGTAAATGCTACCTAATCTTATCACCATTTATACTCGCCGGGCTATAATGCATAATCATTGGTCACTGGGCGCGATAGCTCAGTGGAACCACGCGCCTGCACCCTAGAAAGGTGCTCAAACACTTCTCTGACTTGACGACAAATTAGAGCAAAAACATAACTTTTTTTAAAAAGAGGACAACACAACTCAGAACGATTTTGTAAAGTGAATTTTGCACAGAGATTATCATGGACTTTTTTTTTTGGGGGGGGGCGTATTGTTTGTCGCAATTCAATTGCGTAATTTGAGGGTAGGATAAAGAATGGTGGTGGTGGTTATCATCAACTACTTCGCAGCTTCATCGCGGAAGCTCGAACTATAGATGATCGAACTACGCATAAGGGTGATTTTCAAATTAAACCGAAAAAGGAGATTCACAGCGCAACATATCATTTTAGAAAATCAAATGAGCATTCATTAATCGAAGGACTTGCGGCAGTAAGAAAAGAAGAAAGACAAGTTGAGACCCTTCGACCACAATGCAGATTTTAAAATTTTCGAACAGTGGGACGTTTGTTGTATCTGGTCGCTCCGCCCCATCAGGGACATCGCAGGCTGTTGGGCGATTTGGCTCCGACGAGTTGAGTAGATCAACCACTTATTGATTGATATTTTCGGGAACGTCGACTGCTAGGGTCATGAGTCCCTTTAGTGTAGTGAATGTTGCATTGCGAGTGATGGCGGTATTCGTCTCCTGCAAGATTGTGAGATCCGACCTTAACACATCGGCTTGCGGTGTTTCTTCCCTTCAGGTATCTGCGCTAAGCAGGGACAAGCTCTCGGCTCCCGACCGGACTTCCGACATGTGTGGTAGTGTAATGCATAAACGTGTGTATGCATGTGAGGGGAGGGGGTCAGGCATGGCGAAGAGAGGATATCGTGCGTTCAGTGATCTGATTATTAGGGTACTGCTCGGGCATTCGCCTTCTATTGATCGGAGAATTATAAGCGCTAGTGTCAAAAATCCGCCACCGTCGGGACTCGAACCTTAGGACCTCCTGGTCAGAGTCGCTGCAGCGACAGTGGCAATGCTGGCCGCGAGCTATACGAGTGTGAGCAGAGGGTCGGGAGGGGGGGGAGCGCTCACCTGAACGTGTCTCCGATGAGCTGCAGCTGCTGTTCGTCGATGCGCCACTGCAGCTGCAGCACGCGGCTCGCGCCGCCGCCCGCTCCGCCGCCGCCCAGGTCGAGCGCCGCGCCGCCGGCTCCCGTCAGCTCCGCGGCGCAAGGCAGCAGCACGTGCTGGCCCGGCGCCGCCACGGCGTCCTGCGGCTCTTGCACGAAGCGCAGAGCCGCGCCTGCGCCCGCGCCTGCAACACACAACACACCGCGCCGTTAGCACAGCCGTCTTCTGTACACAACATCGCATCAGGGGACTCTGCGCTACGACCAATGTCCGACTCAGGCTAATTCGCCAACTAGTCGGTTACGGATCACATTACTCAAAAAGGGTGGATGAAGTACGAAGTGGAACAGCTCTGCAGCATACCTAGGAATTAAGCTGTTTAAAGTTGTTGTTTTTTTTCTCACATGAGGTGGGTATGTTATTGCGAACACTCAAGACGCCTTACACGTTATCACGTAACATCATTCTTGAGAAAATTACTAATTGCAAAAAATATTTAATTATACATACCACGATTTACAAAACGTACATACCTACCTTGCGCTAGCAATATTACCTGTCAGAGTGCAGAACTACGCGTAGAAAATAAAGAACATTGTAATACATATATAGCTTCAGAAAACCATCTGAAATTAGTTTTCGATGATATGGATAATAACTAATCGTGAATATTTAATGCCTACGGTAAATTTATATATCAGGAAGGAGGATCCCAAGATGTTCAATTAAAATGTATCTTGAAACTGACAAAATGTCATAACTGAAATGCAGTTTTCATCAAAGAAAACTGACGAAACAGGATTTAGCAAACCATAGTATTTAATTGTAGCACCTTTTAATGCTTAGACATTTGTGTTAAAATATTTCTTAAGAGGAATTACGCCATTTTCACAGAAACAAAGTGAATGAACGAAGAAATTCATTAGTGCATGTCATGTCTATCCAAAATTAAAATTTTCAAAACCCGTGGTATCTACCGAGCGCTGCCCTTGGTTCTATGCTTGTTAGCCACGAAGAGGTCATATTATCCGCATAAATTCCGCAATCGACTGGGTCACAATCTGAGACCTCCAGAGCGCCGCTTCTCCAAGTTAATGAAGCCTTTCATATACATTCTGGACGACTTTAAAAAATGACGAAGAATGTTTCCCGAGGGTGACGATGCCTCTATACTCGCAAAAATTGCGAATATTCCATGAGATACAAGATCTGTACGGGAGAGGGTTACCCGGCACGGAGAACTGCCCCATACGCGGTACTTCGGCCCTCCGGAAATGCTGCACTTGCGGCGGGCAGCACACACAATTTTATACGAAATGCGGAAGATTCACGCCGTTGCATCGCTCATCGAGCACTCAGCGGCAATCTACCAAGAGGCCTACAAGCCTCGACGCCCCGTCAGGCGAGGCTCCTCACCAGAGAGTACGTTAGATACTGAAGTCCTCATTTTAAGGAACTTCAATTCAAGGAATGACAGTGGAGTTGCCTCGGTGCAAACCGAAACGGCACCCGATTAGCCATTTACATTGCGACGAGACGTGGCGTATACGTATGAGCCTTGAAAGAACCCACGATCGCCGACTGGAAATCTGGGAATTAAAAACCTTGCGATCACGAAAGGAATCGATTGCGCAGCCCCGCTTTCGATCTTCTATCTGGTTTCTGATCACAGATCAGTAACATTCGTGGTTTCGACTTTCGCTGCAGCCCGCTGAAACAAATTCAAAATATCCCACAATACAAACTGGGTCGGTTTCACCGCTCACATAAGCACTGTGCTTGAGCGAAAACCGCTAAATTCACGACGAAATCGATAGCGCGGTGACTCACATCACCTCCGCAATTCAAACATCGTCCAAATTAAACACCATAATTACTCGCGAACCGGAACCACGTCCTGAGCTTACAGATGAGCAGAGAAGGACGCTGTGGCAGGTCCGAAGATATTCTAAACTGCACTGCAGCTACGGCGATCCCGTGGACGGACCGCGGGCGCGAGCTGGCAGCAGAGAATTCCGTAAATCTCTACAAGACGAGAGAACCGCATAATGGTTGCGTACGATCGAAGACTGCAATTTCGTGAAAGAAAGCTCTGGGGATTATCTAAGGCTCTGGCCCGCAAGGCGGGAATAACCGCCCCCTCCGCACCACTGCCGCCCCGCAACCGGAATACGCGTGGGAGGACGCCGCTAAAAGCGCTTCACGGAGACGCTAGAACGGCAGTTCCGTGCATTCGAGTCTGCGAGTTTGGGGGCCACAGCACTGCTGCACACTTGCGTGACTAACTGACCGCCGCGCCGAGCACCTATGACGGGAAGGGAGCTCCGCGAGCTCAACACGCGCAAGGCATGCGGGCTAGACGGTATAACAGCCGCCCAGCTCCGCGCGCACAGTGCCGACAGGGTGGAGTTCCTACGGGAACTTCTAAACGCGGACCTAGCGCTAACATGCTTAACAGGGCGTGGAAAATCGCGACAGTATCCATGATATCAAAGCCTAACAAGGACCAACTTCTTCCGAGCCCTTACAGACCAATTGATCTCCTCTCGCTTGTAGCGAAATCTTTCGAGCGCCTGATCCTGGAGCGCTTGCAACAGGAAGTACGGCGCCATAAGCTTCTTAGAGATGATCAATTCGGGTTTCGAATTGGTCTCAAAATTCCGCGCAACAACTGATGCGGCTGTGTACCGACATCGGTGTCTCTCTCGAAGGACGGCAGAATCTGCCGGTGGTTTTTCTAGACGTGCAGCCGGCATTCGATTCTGTATGGCACGATGGGCAGTCGCGTGTCTTGCAGACATTGGAATCAGCGACTGCTACGACAGACTAATTGCTAGCTTCTTGGCATATAGACGATTTAAGGCTCACGTCAATGGCGGGGAAAGCGTGCTCTCCTCGACCCTATTCGGCCTGTTGGTCAACGACGCGCCGCTATCAGTTGAAAGAAACGAATTCAACATTACGGGGTCCTAATGTTCGGATGGCTTCACTTACAACGCGAAGTCGGCGGACAAAAGGAATCAGCGAGATATCTGAACGATTGCCTCACTGAGCTTCCCGAATGGCTGAGCCATAAAAAGCTCGTCTCCAACCTAGACAAGTGCGTAGCCGTCAACTTCACTCGACGAAGGGCCAACCCCAATGCAGTCGTGAGCTTGGCCGGCGCTCACTTTCCCTGGTTAAAGACGGCGAAGTATCTTGGTGTGATGCGCGATAGCGACCTCCGCTGGCACGCCCACGCCAAATACATTAGCCAGGAAATTACTGGCCGATCGACTCTCCTACGCCCGCTCCTAAGAGCCCCCGAACTCCATCCTGCCCTGAAGCGCCGCCTATTCACAGCCTGCGAGCGCTCTATTTGGACGTACGCCTGCGACATTTTCGCGGCGGCACCTCCCTCCACCCTCCGTCCGATTCGTTCGTCGGAAAACCGTGCGGCGCGCCTCGTGGCGCTCCCGCACCTCCCTCTCCCCACCCAAAAGATACCCTAGAAACCCCGACGTGTTGAGAGTTCTGGGTGCATAAAACAAATTCTTGCCGGAACTTCAAAGGAACTCAACAACGGTGTTTGCAAGGGCACTGGGTCCAAAGGCGCCGCGCATCCTGCGTGACACCAGCCTTTACCTTCCGCGTGCTGCCTCACGAGACGTTTGCTTCTGTGTGAGCAAGAAAAGGCATCCGAACGCGGAGGGGAGGGCTTGCCATCGGCCGAGGAACGCGCGGGAAATGCGACGCCGGCCCCACCTACCACGCCTCCCAATGGGCCTGAGCGCCACGGAGTCAAGTCAGTGCCGTGGCCAACAGAAGACTAATGTACTGCACTGGGTGTGAAGGAGTAGAATGAATGGTTATGGGTATAATGAAACAAGAATCAATGATATGTGAATGAAAAATAAATAAATAAATAAAAAGAAAAATACACCAAAACTGAGTAAAACAAAACATTTAGGATTAATAAAAATATTTAAAAAATTGTTAAATTTAGGTATGCCAAAATGCAACGTTAATAAGTAATAAATTAGATTTAAGCTAAAATTAAGTTAGATATAGACAATTTCACTAAATTATTAAGAAAAATCCCTTCCTTGCAGCTGCTTAAGCCGCAAGGCAGCAGTTTTCTTGTAAACCAGTTTAGCAAATAAATTTCCGCCTCCTCAGAGGGTACGGTGGGGGAATATTTAAAAAACAATACGCTTATCAAAGTAGAAGAATGGAAAACGCAGATTCGAAAATTTTGTAAGTGAAATTAATAATCTTGAATTGATGAACGAGTATATTATTAAAATTACGGATACAATTTTGCGTGTTGCGAGTTTACGAAAAACAAGAAACAACAATAAACAACTGTGGTGTGACATATTTTATTTTTCCATTTCTTCCCTACAACGAAGAGATACATTTTTTTATCGATTGAAACGATCACAATATCAAAAACATTTACGTCTGTGGTAATGATGTGAACAATTATGCGCTCACAGAGCTCTACCACTTTTTTATAGTAGCCACCTTCGGGGGAAAAATAGTCACAAATGTTGTAAGGTTGTAGACGAAATACGTATTTGCACATTAGCCAAATAGTAACAAAAATGTCTGTTAACCCTTATGGACTTATTACAGTCCCTTATTTGGATAGTAATGTTAGGAAACGTTACAAGTTTATCTCCCAAATTATTCACGTACTGAGTTGACCAAGAACAGAATTAACAGTTGAACGACAACAGAATTAACAGATTTCACAATTGCATTCAATCTGTTTACTTGAAACAAGAAGAAAATGTGTTTCCTGTGCTCAATTTTGTAAGTATAATTACAAGCTGACACTGATATAAATAAAAGAAAAATAAATATACAATTCCGTATAATTTTGACTCCTTATTTTATTTAAAATATTATTTATAATTTTATCTTCTCCACGTGTCCGATGATACGTAAACATGGTTAATCGACTAAAAAGAGCTCAACAAAACGGAAGAATTGACCAACATTATAAATTTGCAATGAAGTTGATTTCGGAGCTTGCTGCAAAACGTGGTATATTATCTTGAAAGTACTAATTCCATTACAGTGTACAGTCAAATGGTAATTTTCATTACACGCGCTTGACACATCGGAAACGTCGGGGCGTTACACACGCCGTAAAAGGACACGCCTGACGCAAACATTAGACTAACCGAATAAAACGTTAACAAACAAAGCGAACAGAACGAAACGAAGGGCGAGCAACCAAAGCAAGAAGCAGAAAGGCTACCGCTCTACCATCCCATTCCTTCGCTGACACCATGTCTTTCCAAACAAACCAACGAAACAGCAAAACAAATAACAAAAGGGCCCCGCACGCCCCCGCCCGCCCAAAGAATGAAATCCTTTGGCTC